AAACGGGCTGATTTATTATCGCTAATAAAAGTACATTCACACATCATATTCATAAAGACAAGGTAAGAGAGAACCTTTTTTAAGTATTACTATTGGCTTCAACAAAAAAATTTTTACTTTTTCACCGATAGAAAAAAAAATATACAGGGTGGTGCAAAAATTAGTTTACCGAAAAAGAATTGAATATCTCCATTACAGCTCTAGCAAACGAGCTGGTTTTTTTTACCAATGAGAGAGATATATTCAAGCTTTATATCCATAAAGACATGCCTAGAGAGACCTTTTGTTACGCAGGTTGGTTTTTTCCTATAGCTGAAAAAGTAAAAATCTTTTTGTTGAATTCAATAGTGGTAGTTAAAAAAGATTCTCTCTGACCTTGTCTCTATGAATATGAAGTGTGAACATAATTTTACTAGAGATAAAAATATCAGCTCATTTGCTTGAGCCATAATGGAGATATTCAATTTTTTTTCTGTAGGTAACGTTACTTTTGGGCCATCCTGTAGAACAAAAAACATTCATTTTTCGCGTAAATGTTAAGTGCGTCAAGGATGTGTGTGTGGAATTACGGTGTCACAGAGCGATAGAGAGAAAAAAGAATAAAGTTCGTCGGCTATGGAAAATGAGAAGAGTCAAACATATAGAAGAAATAATGGCACATGGCAGAGGTATTACATGGTTGTTAAAGAAAAAATAATGCAAATAACGATGCCATATTTTATTAACGTATGATAAGACAATATTTTGTCATCTTTTTTTTGTATTTTTAATAATTCTCTGTAAATTTAATCAAATTTTTTTCAGATTATTCTCTTATATCAATTTATAGAATGATTGTGACACAAGATGTTAAACCAACATTGAAAAAAAAATGTTTTTTAACAACTTGTTTTATTATTTTGATTTTTGCTTCATTTCTAATCGGACTTTCGATGAATGTATCACGCCAGACTACAACTCAATTTTTTCTAAAATTAGCTCAAGCACCATTAGTTGAACGACTACTAAATGATTCTCAAATAAATACTACTATTAATACTATTCCTATCGTTCGTCATCCACAAAGTCGTACACCATTTGAAAATTTTGTCTGTGATAAGACAAGTATTAATCGATTTCCTGTTTCATCAACAACACCATCAACTGATTCATTTGATATATATCGAAAAACAACTTTAGAAAAATATTGTAATATGGTACCTATTCCACGACGTAATTATATAAAACCGAAAACATATACTGAAGATGAAGTTGTATTTGTTATTTTTACATCTTCGAAATTTTTTCATACACGAGCAACAGCAACACGTGATACATGGCTTTCACGTATAACAAATTATTATTTTCTTAGTGCAACTTCTTATCCTTATTTACCTGTAACTGTTATTGCTGGTGCTGGTGAAGATAAATTATCAAATATGAAAAAACTTTTTTATGGTCTTCAAATTATATATCAACAACAAATGAATCTTTCTATAAGTCAACGACAAAAATGGTTTTATATAGCAGGTTGTGATACACTTATATTTCCTCATCATTTACTTAAACGTCTCGATGGTTTGGATTATACAAAACCAATTCGTGTTGGTGGTCATTGGGGAACTTGTGACTGTCTAGGACCAAATGGAACAAAAATTCCAGGAGAATTTCCATCAGGTGGTGCTGGATTTTTTTTTAGTATGAAATTACTTGAAATAATGCAACCACATTTAACAAATTATGTTGAAAATGTTTGGCCACGTGGTGATGTAGCATCTGATGTTGCACTTGCTTGTCTTGCTGAACAATTAGGTGTTCGTTTAACAAAACAAGTTGGTTTTTGGGCCCATGCACCAGCATTTACATTAGCTGAAAATGGACGTGAAAGATTTCATAGAGAACCTGAACCAAATGATTTTCATTATGTTGGACCTGATGAAATGTATGCACTTGATGAATTTTATGTTAATCAACATATGGATAGATTAATCAATGATGAAAATTGGGACGAATTAATTCGAGTTACTCGACGTTTTGTATCTAGTCATTATGAATTATTAAGAAAAAAACGACGAGAATGTACATTGCCAGTCATAGGAGAAGAAGTTAAATTACCTACTGGTTAAAATTTTATATATGTAATAAAAACAGTTGTAGTCATTTTTTTAAATAGATCATCCCTATAAAAAAAAAAGCTAATATTATATTTAATTCGTAAGTATCAAAAAACTAACTTTTGTGAAACACAGTTAGAGGTCACTAGGTTGGTCCCGATTTGGTTCGGGTCTGAAAATTTTGGATCTGATCAACATTAAGCACGACCTAAAAGGAGTGTTGAAGTATAGGAATAGAAATCTAGATCCTGCCCCAGAGGTGTAACTAAGGGGGACAAATCGGTAATTGCCTATTTTTTTTGAAGATTTGTCCATTGAACTTTTACTTTTTCAGAATTTGGTAATTAATTTTTGAATTAGATAGTAACTGTATTTTTTTTTCTTCCGTCCGAATCACACATGCACTCTTTACTTGTTCTTTCTGTGAAGAATTAAGAAAAGAATCGCTTATTGTATTCGAACTGTAAGTTTGGATGAACATGAGCTCGATTTTATTGGGAAAACACTAATCACGTAAAGGCTGATAATCGATATCTTGATAATTTATTCGATGTATTTGAACAACGAAAACATTAGGCTCAAGATTATTTTCATAATATTATTTGTAGTCATGTTGATGAATTATGTAAAGAACTGTTTGTCACATCATCGATTCCGCGTCATTCAATATTAGCTTTGCGAGAAAAAGAACTATGTCAATATGTGATCCGGAACAATTTTATTGCGATCACGTTTATTTGCCCTTCCGAGACAGACTTATTAATAATATTAAAAGTCTATTATCGAGCTTAAAAGGTGAGCGAATTATTTTATTAAGTAAATGACAACTGGAAGAAATTATAAATGAAAAACCATTTGAATTAATAAAACATTTATCGAAACACTTCACTGATCGTTTATTATCACTATTACCATTAAATCCTGAATTAAAAAGATGGCAAAAAAAGATGTAATGATTTGCTTAAAATGGATAAGGACTGGAGAAAAAAAAATGGTTAAATGAACTAATTAAAGAGACAGACAATGTATTATATTCAAATGTTCGTTATTTATTAATTTTCTTAGTAACATTATTTGAATCAACAGCTTCTGCTGAAAGAAGTTTCAGTCAATTATCGAGAGTTAAAAGTTATTATCGGTCTATTGCTTTTTACGTTATCAGTACTTTATTAGGTCAAAAAAGTTTTGGCCTATCAATAAAAACCTTGCCGATCGTTTTTTTTTCAACACAAGAGAAGTTTGTTCATTGGTCTAAAACTCCTAGTTACGCCGCTGCTTGCTCCTTCACACAGATTATGATAGACATATCAGTCACAAACACTTTAGCAATACATTAAGGATGCCTTAGCATTGCTTTTCATCTGTCACAGACCGTGGTCAATACCTTAGTATTGCTATTCTCTCTCTCTCTCTCTTCACAAGCATGCGGATGAGATCGAAGTCTACTGCGGAATTATTATGAAACACGATTGAATTTAAGATGGATATCTTGCACTTTTCTTTGATACTCACTGTAATACATTGTGATTAACACCTTTCATTATTGATAGACATTAGCAGTAAATAGTAATTCATGAATCGAAATAAAATATTGATGAATTTCTTCTTTTTCTACTCAAAAGCAAAGATATAATTACTCAATGTAGTAATCCTCCTCGCTTTTTCACAGAATATTTAGGTACATATTATAATATCCTTAATCAGAATATTGAGATTCATAATATAGAAATTCAGATAACTTCAATGTACAAGATGATCCATTGTGTATTCCAGAACTTGATGATTTTCAGTGCTTTCGATACATCAACAAAGATTTTATTACACTTGCTCTCAAGTTCTGAATATAGGCAGTATGAATGAGAGTGTTCATGTTAGATCTTAAACTGGTGAACGATTTATAGATAAGAATATTATCAAAAAGATCGGACACTTAATACTCTTTTGAATGTTCAATTACATAAAAATACAATAAGATCTGATGTTGAATATATATTATTTTTAGCCGAGTAAAATGAATTGTTGAATAGAAAAAAGTGAATTGAGCAAATTTAGCGTAAATAATAATTGTTTTAAACGCGTTTATCATTAAATTTGGAAGGATTTTAAGTGTAAAAATTTCTTTCATAATTAAAATATTTTTATGAATTGTTTGAACGTTTATACTTTGTAATTTCCTTTTATCAAGAATAAAGACCACACTATTTATTTATTATAATGCATTTATTTTGAAGATATATTTCAAAGATTTGACATACAAATAAATCATCGTATATAGTTCTTTATTCATTAAATTATGTTTCGAATTGAACAATCATTTGATTATAATATAGGTGATATAACATATAGACAAATAAAGGTAACCAGAAGCAGTCAACATTAGGGAGGGAGTGTCGTGCCTTTTTTTTGCAAAGGGAAAATATTTTTCTACTATCTGAATCCAAAAAGGAATGTCCAGCTCTACTAGGAAAAAATGAAATTTTCCACAATTTGAAGGATCTTACACCCCCGACAACTTCCTCCCACTTCCAATCAAACTACTACTGTAGACAGACAACAACAATTTTTTTTTCTTTACAATAAATGATAATATGATTAATAGAAATCTACAGACAAACAACAGAAAATAAATAAAAATTTCTTGAAAGTATATCAAAAATTCATTCTTTAATAATTCTGGTTGGTTTTATATTTTTTCAAACTAGTTGTAGGGTAGAATGCCATTTGATTAGTTCTCATTGATATAGATTGTATTTTTTTTGTAGGATGTGTGGAAAATGGTTGAATTTGGTTAGTTCTCAATAAAATTGGTTTTCGACATAAAAATAACATTTTTGCTTCTTTTCTGAATGATGTTGATGAACCTAAGAAAACAAAAAATGGACATGCAAATGTTATATAACATGTAACTCAAACAATATTTGATATCACAAGTTCAATAGCTTTTTGATTAGCAGATTTAGTCATTGATGCAGTAGATAATGAATATTCTGTAAATATTACATATGGTACTGTTGAAACAAGTATAATTGGAATTTGTATAAGCATCATTGATGTTAATTGTTTTTGAAATATTTGTCTTTGACGAATTATTTGTAATTTATTTGTATTTCTATATGTCAATAGACCTGTTATTGTTAAAATTATACTTGGTAATAAACCATAATAAACAGGAAATGAAAAATATTTTACATAATTAGAAAAAGTATCATATCGACCAAGTGAACAAGATATTAAACCTGTACTTGGACTTGGTAATAATTCGAGATATACTAAATGAGGAATAGAAAGACTTAACCAAAATATAATTGTTAAAATGACTGCCCATATAGCTATGGATAATCGACTTAATTTTCTATATTTTTCTTGACAACAACTAACAAGAAATCGATCAATACTTGCTAAGCAAGTACATGTGAATGAAATATAATAACCAGCTTGACTAAAAGCAGTGCGAGTTTTACACCAAATAATATTTGTACTTGACCAATCAAAATAAAAGCCAACATTTAATATTCTTGTGAATAAACCATAAACTAAGATAAAACAATTAATAAATGATAAAGCCAAAAATAGAAATGCACATGGATTATGACGAGTTCGCCAAAGAAGACGAATATTAAGTAAATTTCCTAAAGTACCACATATAAATATAGGTAGACCAAGATAAATTGTTATTGAACTTATTAATTGTCTAGATGACGACATTTTTTTTTTGTTCTCTTTTGAAATCTACAATGGTAGATATTTATTTTGTTTAGCGCAGTGAAAACATCCCCAAACCTTAATTAGAATAAATTGACTTTTATCAAGAGATAAACGAGTCAGTGATTTTTCCGCATAATTCACTGAGAAAAATTTCAAGTCAAGTCAAATTTGATTTATTCAACTCTACTCTTTCCAGTCTGCATTGTTTTCTTGTCACTCGAATGAATAATATAAAACAATTATGCATATATAAATAAATCTTCATAGTTTTATCCAGCTTATATCTCGTAAAGATTACTTTCTCGATTAAAATTTTTGCACTTTCCATGCAAATAAATGGAGTGCTGTCATTATCACTATTGTCAAGATAATATTCTTTTTCATGATTTATATCTTGTATAGAATATGATTGAAGAAACAAGTGTATTTTTATTGATGAATTGAAATATTTATAAGATAAACACATCTCATTATGAACACTTTTTGAGAGATCTCATTGGTGTTCATCTTATAAAAGTTTTACTGTATATAAATCAACAAGCATCTGAATTCTTATAAGACTATATAAAATAGTGATTGAAATATGTCAATATTTTTTCTATGAACTAATTAAAGATGTAATGATATTTCTTTCTAATAAGATATCATAAGCAAGGAATGCATGATAATATTCAGTAATATTATCACTATAATCAGCAAAAAGTTGCTTATAATTGCTACATACATAAATATCCTAATAGGCAAAACTAGATTGTAGCTAGAATTCATTATAAATTAGGTGCAAAACTACGAAATAATTTCCTTCTATTGAATAATAAATTCTAATTTTCATTTAGACTTATGTAAGAATGATTTCTTTCATGTCAACATCAGAAAATGAGATTTCGAAAGTGTTTCTGTAAAAAATTGTATCAGTATTGAATTCCGAGAAAAAATAAGTATTATTCTACAATCAGGAAACATATAAGTTTAACGATCCTTCCTTTCTTTTTTAGCGGGAGAGAAATTAGGAAATTTCACAACTTTTAGAGATAATCTAAATTTCAATCGAAAACACTTATGAACCCTAGAATTTTGTATTAACAAATGAAATTTCATATAATCATACTTTTCAACTAGATATCTACTTATTGACAATTTATGATCGATCTTTATATTAATTTTAAAGCTTCTTTTTTAAAAGTATCTATTTCAATAAATTAGAAGTTTAAATTTGACTTTCATCAAGTAACGTATGTTCCATATTAAAAAGAAGAGTATATCACTGATTTCATCCTTTTATAAATAGTTTCTAATGCGATGATTTTTAAATCATACTTAATATTACCTAAATCTTAACTTAACGAACATACAAATTTATAAATAATAACTATTTAAGTAGTTATTCATTCAATTAACTGCTTATTGATCGATCTACGATTGATGACGAGAAAAAAAAACTAAATGGTTAATTCATTGAAAACTTATCTTGAAATGTTCAGCTCATTTGGAGCTCTAATTTCCATTGTTTTATTCAGAGTTCCTTATTGCTAACCGAAATTAATAGTTAAAATGATGAGAAAAAAATGCATACCTACATATTTCTATATGAACAAAAATATGCTCTAAAAACTAGAATACAAATATAGTATGCGTTACCTCATAGTTAAATAAGCACACGATTGAAAATAGAAATGCAAAAGCTTTCATGTAAATCAATTGATAGTCTCATTTGAGTTTTTCTCTCAAGATATTTTATACATTGTCGATTTTTTGTATATTTATATATAATAAAAAGGAAGTAGAAATCTTATTTGAAAAGCAGGATTACAAAAATGATGATGGAAAATGTCATCATATTGAAAGCCTTTTTTTTCTACTTTATCAAAGAAAAAAAAATCCACAACTCTTATAAAAGTAAATCCATGACAGATAAGCTGTTAATGGACAGAATAATCTATCTCAACAGACATCTAAAATAAAACTAACCATGAAGGTGTTTGTGTTGTTAATTGATAAGATCCAACATATTCAAGTCAAATAAAAGGTTTCACCACTAACATAATAAATTAAAATATAGACTTTCCTGAGTATGCACGAACTGATATATTGAAATTTTAAGATATTTACAATATATACAAAGTACTCATTATTCAAAATTTCAGTACAATTTTATTTTCTAATAGTTGGATAGAGCTCATTGAGTTTCATAAGAAAAAGTATGATTCAAATAAATAAATTTAATTTACAATAATCTAAAATTTAATTTAATTTAATCTTCTATTTAAGCGATACTTTTCCTATTGCAATATGATGAGTTCTATGCAATTATTACAAAACAAGAAAAGATTCTATTTAAATTTGGAATTGTGAGAACCTTACATATAGTATAAAAGCCTTAAAATTGAATATCTCTATTTGTAAATGGCAACGGCATAGTATATTTTATTTTTCAAAGTTTTATCTCTTTAAGCTAAACAAGTGCTGAAATCCATGACTTGTTGTATTTAATTTTTGTAACATCTATATTTCTTAAATAGTAATATTTATAAAAACCTTAGTTAAAACATAGTTTACAAGAAAATTCTTTTTTTGTTTAAGTGTAAATCATAAAACACAATGTGTATAAACATGCTCCTCATTGTTTTCTACGACCAGTCATGATTGACTCTGTATTTGTAACTGATAAAGATTGAAAATAACATTTATCATTAAATCTGAAAGATTCTATATATTAATACATTTCTATATAGTTAAAACAAATTATCTAGTATGTTATAATCGACTAAATGATAAAAATTTCAACATTCTATGTCAAGGAAAAGTATGAAAAATATCATCGATAATTTATCCTCAATCATTATTGAATTGTCATTATTAACTTTTAATGGAACTTTTTTCTTTCAGATCATATGATGATAGTTTGTGTTATTTTAGTTTGTTGTAAACACATCATATCAAATAATACTCTAAGCAATTAAGAGAATACATTAGTTCATCACTTTATGTTTTATAATGCTTTTTTGTCATTGTTAGTCGTTTTATTATTAAAACCTCTATCGACACTTATGTGAAGTACCAGTTTTAAGAGAAACAAAGAGAGAGAGAGAGAGAGAACAAGCAACAGATAGTGTCAGATAAAATGAGTAGTCACTATAGGCATTGACTCATTCGAATTGTGATAAGAAATACTGAATTAATAGTATGTTTACGTCAAGTAACGTTGGTGTATCGATTCATTCTAGTACACGCTACGTATAGATATCAGCATAATATTACATTAGATCGAAATGTCACTGAATTTCATGTTTTACACAACATCGGTCGGGAGTATGTGGCATTGACATAGGAAATCACTATGAAAAAAACTGCGTAGGATATCTGTTTAACTATGATTTTCATGATAAATCTTGATATATAGGTCTGTAAGTATTTGACGATTTGCAAATGATTATTGAAATGATTAATTCAATAACAATGTATCATTCTGAATTATAGCAAGTTTTTGAAAGATCGTTACTCATATTATATTTTGGATAACATATGACTTAATCATTGATTTTTTTCTACATACAATGAAGGATAAGATTGTGCTGAATTGTTTCAGCATTTGCTAGAATTGCCAAGATTTTCATGACATATAAATGCACATCATCCATATTGACGTATGTAAAAGCGTTTTTGTCAAGAGTAATCACGATGCACCCATCATTGAGAGGGAGGTCCATGAGAGTTTTTCCTAAGATTACGCAAGAATAGCATTATTTTATTTGATTGCAAATGTCTCTGAGAGAATCATCACTAAAAGTATCGCTATAGTTTGAAACGCAGTATTATTGATGAATTTTACACTAATTGAAAGCTCGTTTACAATAAGATCTATAAATATGACTGATAATGATAAGTGTGATAGGATGATTACGAAGTATAGAATTTAGAAATAATTTGATCAATCTAAATATATAACGGCATATTTTCAAGATTATCCAATAAAAACTTGATGCGATTAAAATTTAATAAAGTTTCAAAATCCCATAGTTCTAATCGAAAGATCAAATCTGATTATTCTATAACAGATGGAAATTGTAATTGATTAAAATCGGATTATGGATTAGTATCGTCGGATTACAGTTTCCAAAAAAAAATTAGCCTTTAACTTATTCTAACTTTCGTTTTGTATTAGAATAGTTTAATTGAAAATGTTGATTGTAACCGATTATAACCCAGTTGCAATTCAATGAAAAAAATTGGCTCATGCATTTTTATTTGAAATTTGATGTACATCATTTTTATTAAAATCCATGAAGATAAATTGTAAACTAGTGATAATAAAAACTTCGATTTTAATCAAATAAAGTTTTGATTTACCGAGATAATCAGGCTTCGTAGTGATTCATTCCGAATATAAAGGAAAATATAGGAAATATTTAGGACAATTTTTTCAATGCAAAGCCTTTTAAGAGAGTTACTAGACATTACAATGCTTCGAAAATCATAAACAGATCACACTCGAAATTGCCAAATAATTTGGAAACAAATATATATTTCAATTACTGAAAAACGAAATTCAACAAGTTTAATCCGAAAAAATCAGTTCCAATGAAATAATAGCTTCTGTTTGTTTTATCAATAGCGATTGAATAATATCTAGATGAAAACAATATAAAATAGAAACATAACAAAGACGATTGCAAAAACACTTGAATTTATTTGTATAAACAACTTGCAAGGAGAAAAATGAAAGTTTAGAACTCGAGCACGTCAACACCAGCCTAGCGTCTTTTAATACTGAAACTTCATAATAGTACTTACAGAGTCGGTAAATATGATAGAAATTGAGGTTATAGATATGCATGAGAATCATACTATTTCAATCTATTTTTTCGAAAATAACAATTTTTTTTATAAAACTTGCTCGAATGATTTTGGAGTTGAAAAATGCGAACCTATAGACGATTTTGTCAAAATCCTTGAGTTCGATTTTTTTTTCAGTCAGTGAAGACCTATTTTAAAACAATAGA